GCTTGTTCTGGACATCAGGCCTTGACTGCTAGATGGGATGCTCGTGGATGATCATGTCTTATTCTTGGACGATGTCTGTTGTCATTCCTATGCCTTGTGTTCAGTCTGATCTGCTCCCTAAACCTGGGCTCTCTTCATTCCAATTCCTCGCCAGTGATCTGCCCAATAGGAGGCATATATTAGCTTTGTGGATAATGAATCGTTGGGAAATGGAGTGCTCAGAAGCTGGCTAACAATGTTTTGAATTCTTACTGTTTGTTATGTTTAGGGTATTCACAATTAAGTTTTTTAAAAAAAATGTTACTGATTTTAGAGGAAAGGAGAGGGGAGGGGAAAGAAGGAAAAGGAGAGTTCTCTTCCCATCCTCTGGAAATTATCCAAAGGCCTGTGATGGCTAGGGCTGGGCTGGGACAAAGCTGGGACCTGGAAACTCAATCCAGGTCTCCTGAGTGGGTGGCATTGGCCCAAATACTGAGTCATCACCTGCTGCCTCCCTAGGTTCTGCCTCCCTGGTGCATGTAGAATACTGCACCAGCAACTAAAGAATAATATTCTTTTTACGTGTACTCGTAAAATTAAACTATATTCTGGGCCATAAAGCCAAGTCAGCATATTTCAGAAAATGAAAATGTTGCTAAACATGCAATTAAACAGTACCAAAAGGTAACTAGAAGCAGGTACTTTGACTGGTCTCATACAGTTAACTTTTAAAAGCATTTTACTGAAGTATAACACAGAAGAATGCATGCATACATCATAAATGATCACTCCAGATATTAATACATAGGTCAAAAAAGTAGACCATTATCAGCTTTCGAGAAATCACCTCATAATCTCTTACAAACCACCTCCCAAAGTAACCACTGTTCTTTCTTTTGGCACCTTGGATTTTACTGCTCCGGTACCCTACTCCCCTCCTCCTTTTTAAGCTTTCTGTAATGAAATTACATAGTTTATCTTCATTTGTGATTGGTGTGTTTTGCTCTGCATTGAGGTATCCATGATGTCATATGGCTATAATGGAATTGATATGTATAATAATAATAATTAAATGAATACACAGTTATTCTACAGTTGAGGGGTATTTTTTTTTCCAGGTTTTGGCTGATAATGAATTATACTGGTTTGCGCTTCCTTGAATGTGGTTTTGGTGTACCTTTGGGCATGTTTTAGAAAAATAGTGGAATTTGTTGGTCATAGGGTAAGTATAGGGTCTACTGTGAAATGCTTTTCTAAAAGGAATTAATTCATACTGACACCTGCAATGCATGTGGGTTCTGTTTGCTCCAGTCCTCTGCAGCATTCTGTAAATCTTGTGTATGTCACTGGTTTTAATTTTATGGTACCTGATTATCAATGAGGATGTGTACATCAATTGAGGATGTGTTTATTAACTTTTGTTAGTGAATTACCTGTTTCAGACTTTTTTTTTTTTTTAATATTTATTTATTTGAAAAGGCAGAGTGACAGAGAGATCTTCTGCTGGTTTCCTCCCCAAATGGTCACAACAGCCAAAGCTGGGTCAGACCAAAGCCAGGAGCTGGGAACTCCATCTGGGTCTCTCTCGTGGGTGGGAGGAGCCCAAGCTCTTGAACCATCTTCTTCACAAAGTGTTCAGGGGCCTGCACCCTTGTGGAAGACCTAGAAGAAGCTCCTGGCTCCTGGCTTCAGATTGGTCCAGCTCCAGCGTTGCGGCTATCTGGGGAGTGAACTAGAGGATGGGAGATTTCTCTGCCTCTCAAAAAAAAAAAAAAAAAAGCCTAGCTGTCAACAGTCTGTTTACCAGGGGAAAGAGTTCTGCAATCTAGTATGTTTGCTTTTACTGCACCTTGTTTTTAGCATTGTATGTTGTCTTTGAATGTTATTGCTGTCTCTTTTATCTTGGAGAGCTTCCATTCACTCTCCAAGACAGAAACAAAGTCCTCCAGGCTTTTGTTGGGTTTGAGAAGGGGCAGTTGCCTGCTAAGTGTTCAGTGAAGATAGGTCTGCCTCTGCCTCTTAGATTTTCAAGTAATCCCCCTGTAAGCCCTTAAGCAACCCTTACTCTTCCCGCCCACCCTCAGCTTCAGGTAGTACCAGCTTTGAGTCTTCTGCAGAACAAATTGAATTAGCTTTAGCTTTCTGCTTTACTAGCTTAGAGAGAACTGAATTCCCCTGTTTAGTGGGAACATCTTACCTTCAAATCCTAAAATAAGATAAAATACCACATAATTATATGCTACAAAATTACCTAATTTATTTCAGAATAACTGGGAAATGAAACATTCTGAGAATTTCTGAGTAAGGTTAAGCATAAACCTGGAACACATTCTCATTTTATATGTGAGATAAATTGGCTTCTTATGAAGTCTGTGGTCAGATCTCTATTTGAATCCTGAGCTAGTACTTTATTATTATATGTGTCTCCATGGGGGAAGGGACACATCTTTAACCTTTTCTTGTGTATCTGAAGTAGGGTGAAGAATCTTCTTTCTTATAAGGTTGTTGCAGGTTTAGGAGAGCCGACAGTAGTAGCTACCATTTATTGGTTGTCACTTACGTGTCTGATGTGTGTCTGATGCTAGATGTTCTCATTTAATCCTCACAAAAATGTGTTCCACCACTGTTCATTACATACTTTCTAATAGTTACCAAGGAGGAAAACTGAGATGTCTAATAACAGGGAGGTTAAATTACTTCTCTATCTATAAGGTATCATGTAAATAGTATTTTACCAAGTCCTTTTCAGTTACTTGGAAATTGCCTATCTTAGATAAAACTATTAGGTGTCATATGATTTCAAATAGGGGAAAGACAACTCAAACGGACAAGCTCCAAAATGTTTACTGCAGTATAATTTCATGTTATTGCTATGCTTTTTTTTTTTGCAGTTTGCAAAAATCTCAGTGGTGTGCATATAAATTGATAAAAGTAACATGGGTTTTTTAAAACCCAATTGTTTATATTGACTTATAATTTGATTATACATCATTTTATTTATGTGTAGATGTGAAGAATGTTATGAACTTTTTTAATACACTCATCTCTCAGTTTCAGCAATGATTGATATATGGCTTGTCTTGGCCAGCATTGTGACTGCTGCCTGTGATGCCAGCATCTCACATGGACAACCAGTTGGTGTTCCATCTGCTCTGCTTCCAATCCAGCTTCCTGCTAATGGCCTGGGAAAAGCAACAGAAGATGGTCCAAGTGCTTGGGCCCCTGCCACCCCTGTGGAAGATCTGGATGATGCTCCTGGCTTTAGCCTGACTCAGCCCTGGCCATTGTGGCCCCTTGGGGAGTGAACCAATGAATGGAAGATCTCTGTCTCTGTGTCTTTCTCTCCCTCTCTCTCTCTGTAACTCTGACTCTCAAGTAGATAAATTTTTTAAAAAGTTATATTGCCTGTCTTATCTATTATCTGTACCCCTTACAGCTCTGTTCCCCTGTTCCCATGAGAGGTTTTTTTGTTTGTTTGTTTGTTTGTTTGTTTGTTTTTTTTAAATTATTTATTTATTTATTTGGAAGAGTAGAGACACAGAGACAGATCTTCCATTGGTTCACTCCCCAAATGGCTGCAGCAGCCAGGGCTGGGCTAGACCGAAGCCAGGAGTTTCCATCCAGCTTTTCCACAGGAGTGACAAGAGCCAAGCACTTGGGCATCCTCTGCTGTTTTTTCAGGCACATTAGCAAGGAGCTGGATCAGAAGTGGAGCAGCCGGGACTCAGATTGTCATCCATACAAGATGTCAGTGTCATAGGTGGTGGCTTAACCTGCAGTTCCCTTATGCTGATCCCCCCTCGCCACAAGTTTTAAAATCTCATATATACAGTTTGAGTATCCATAATTAATCTGAAAATCCAGAATGCTCTGGAATCTGGAATTTTTTGATATTGAGTAAGTTTTAGATTTTGTAATTTTGGATTAGGGATGCATACCTTATCAAGTCTATGCAAATATTTCCAAATCAAAAAAACTCTAAAGTCTGAAATACTTCTGATCCCAAACATTTCTGATAGGGGAACCACTTGTATCTTTTAATGTCTCTTTATATTTAACTGTGATAACCAAAAGATCCCTGTGTATTCCTAGAATACCCCCTTGTAATAGTCCCATCATCTCCTGAGACCCATTGCTGTGGGGCAGTGGTGTAGAGTGGTTTCCAGAAGGTGTGGTTCTTTCCTGAATTTGCACTGGGATTCCTGAAATAGTTTGTTAACTTAGATTCCTGTACCACTCTGAGGTTTTCTGGTTTGGAAAATTGAGTAATCCTGAGCATACTGATGATTTTGGTAAAGATTTGAAAAGTGGTGATCCAACCGGAGTATAAATAAGTTTTATAGTATCATGTTTTCTTTTCTCATCTGATTTTGTAGGTTATTGTGGTCCCTGGAAAACCTTTACTCAAAATTTCCTATTTCCAAATCTTTCTTCGGTCTTCATTTTTGGAAAGCTGTCTGTATCTGCCCTCTGTGTGCTGCTTCTGTACTTTGTGATTTACTTGAATGGATGGTTGTGATTTACTCTCACTGGATGGCTCACCTTCAAGGGCAGATCTTTGCTTCTCTATTGTACTGATTGTTAATAAAGGATGACTGGAAGAGGAGGGAAGGATAGTCAAGAGAACTGGCTGAGAATGGAGGTTGGTTGTATATACAAGTATATTCAACTATGAAGAAAATAGGATTGAACATAGAAATACAAGGAAAAGGTTATTGTGAACTCGGTAAAGGTAATGTAGTCCCATTGACAGAGTATAAGCATATTGCAAAGCAGTGAATTGTTAGGCCTTAGGCCTTAGCAGAGACTTGAACATAGAACTTATGTGCCTATGATAAGGCTTTTCTGTAAGCAATAAAGTGGTAATCATTTCTTTTATCAAGATATCAGCACAGAAAAAATATATATTTACTTAAATTGTTGTAATAATCTGGGATGGGGCTTCTTTGAAGTACCTGTAGAAACTAAACTGGATTGTACTGAGCAAACACCTATAATAGATACTTTTTTTTCTTATTTAGTTCAAGGAAGAAATCTCCAAACGTTTCAAATCACATACTGACCAACTTGTATTGATATTTGCTGGAAAAATTTTAAAAGATCAAGATACTTTGAGTCAACATGGAATTCATGATGGACTTACTGTTCACCTTGTCATCAAGACGCAAAACAGGTAAGGTTTTAGAAGACATTCAGCTTTTTTTTTTTTTTTTTTTGACAGGCAGAGTGGACAGTGAGAGAGAGAGAGACAGAGAGAAAGGTCTTCCTTTTGTCGTTGGTTCACCCTCCAGTGGCCGCTACGGCTGGCGCGCTGCGGCCGGCACACTGCGCTGATCCAATGGCAGGAGCCAGGTGCTTCTCCTGGTCTCCCATGTGGGTGCAGGGCCCAAGCACTTGGGCCATCCTCCACTGCACTCCCGGGCCACAGCAGAGAGCTGGCCTGGAAGAGGGGCAACTGGGAAAGAATCTGACGCCCCGACCGGGACTAGAACCCGGTGTGCCGGCGCCGCTAGGTGGAGGATTAGCCTATTGAGCCACGGCGCCAGCCCATTCAGCTTTAAACCATAGAGAGATGGTAGCCAGTCTTGACTGTAAATGCCTCTCCCTGCTGTATGTGTATTTAATGTTATATTTATAGATGTACATTTAATGATAATGTTTACATGCTTGTCAGATAACAATTTTTTAAAATATTTATTTATTTATTTGAGAGGCAGAGTTATAGACAGGGAGAGAGAGAGAGAGAGAGACAGAGAAAGAGAGAGAGAGAGAGATCTTCCATCTGCTGGTTCAATGGCTGCTACGGCCGGCGTGCATCGCCGATCCAAAGCCAGGAGCCAGGTGCTTCCTCCTGGTCTCCCGTGCGAGTGCAGGGCCCAAGGACTGCCTCCTGGGCCACAGCAGAGAGCTGGCCTGGAAGAGGAGCACCCGGGTCTAGAACCCGGGATGCCAGTGCTGCAGGCAGAGGATTAGCCTAGTGAGCCGCGGTGCCGGCTTGTTTTCTAACTATCCTTAATATATGTCTGTATCTACCTATAATTAGATAATAGATACGGATGTATGTATATATGAAAGAGCTGGGATCTGAGAGCATGAGAGCATTGTTAAGGCTCACTTACATCAGCCAGAACCTCTTTTCTTATATCCTCTGACCCCCCCCCCCTACAAAAAATATACTTATTTATTTGAAAGTTGAGAGGGAGAGAGAGATTGTGATCAATCTATTCATCTATTGGTTTGCTTCCCAGATGACAACAATGGCCAGTGCTGGTTTCCCACATGGGTGGCAGTGACCTAAGCACTTGTGCCATCTTTGGCTGCTTCTCCCAGGCATTAGCAGGGAGCTATATTGGAAGTGAAGCAACTGGGACACAAACTGGTGCCTATATGGGATGACTGACTTTACTTCCTATGCCACAGTGCCAGCCCCCTGTATCTTTTATAAACTGAGGTCTTGTTGATGAAAAAAAGTATTAAAAGTTAAACACTTTAATTAGGTAAATAGGTTACAGCTTCTTTCAGTTCTTACTATGACAGCTTGAAATGGCTTTTGTTTTTGTTTTTGACAGGCAGAGTGGACAGTGAGAGAGAGAGACAGAGAGAAAGGTCTTCCTTTTGCCGTTGGTTCACCCTCCAGTGGCCGTCACGGCCGGCACGCTGCGCTGATCCGAAGGCAGGAGCCAGGTGCTTCTCCTGGTCTCCCATGGGGTGCAGGGCCCAAGCACTTGGGCCATCCTCCACTGCCCTCCCTGGCCACAGCAGAGAGCTGGCCTGGAAGAGGGGCAACGGGGACAGAATCTGGTGCCCTGACTGGGACTAGAACCCGGTGTGCCAGCACCGCTAGGTGGAGGATTAGTCTATTGAGCTGCGGCACCAGCCAAGAAATTTTTTTAAAAGATTTTATTTATTTATTTCAGAGGCAGAGTAACAGAGAGGGAGAGACAGAAAGGTCTTCCATCCACTGGTTCACTCCCAAATGGTGGCAATGGCCAGAGCTGTGCCAGTCTGAAGCCAGGAGCGTCTTGAGGATCTCCTACGCGGGTGCAGGGGCCCAAGGACTTGGGCCATCTTCTACTGCTTTCCCAGGCCATAGCAGAGAGCTTGATCATACGATAAGCAGCTAGGACATGAACCCATGCTCATAATGGATGCTAGTGCCGCAGGCAGAAGCAAAGCCTACCATACCACGGTGCCAGCCCACCTAAGATTTTTTTAAGTAGTTAGTTGCAAGTTAGTGTTGGAAGCATTTAGAGCTTTGCATGGATTGGCACATTGATTGTTTGCACACCTCTACCCATTTTTAAAATATGTGCTGCTCTTAATTTTTCTATAAGGGTCTTATGTTAAGTGTCTCTTTTACTTGAGGCAGGTAGGTTTTTGAGGGCAAAATTATTAACATGTGAAGCCTACAGAGATCAGGATGAAATTATCTAGTGTTCTGATCTATGAAAAATATTATTGAGGTTTATCTCTTCCCTGCTGTTATTTCATAGCCAAAGATATTGAAGCCTAAAGAGGCTTTTAATTTGAGGCCATACAGCTCCCTCTAGTCTCAGTGTCACACCTATTTTCTGTCTTGGTGATTCCTTTCCATCAACTGGGCCATTTATCCTTTATATTGAGCTTTCCTTTTTGCTAAGTGTTTTCATTAAGGGCTGTCCCATGTGTAAAAGCCACAGACTCTCATTACCATCTGTTCTTTTGCTTTCCTTCTCAGGTATCTTCTGAAAAGGCATTTTCTGTTTTCTGTGTGTATCTCCCTTTCATTAAATTCACTACATTCTATTGTTTGTCCTCATTTCACTGAAAATTTCCTTGATAAGGTTACCGTTCTTAGCTTGCAGGATTTAATGGATTTTTTTAAAACGACTTACTTATTTGAAACAGACTAAGAGAGGAATGAAGAGATAAGAGAGTTCTTCCATCCACTGGTATACGATGCCCACAACAGTCTGGAGCTAGGTCAGACCCAAGCCAAGAGTCAGGAGCTTCTTCCAGGTCTCCATAAGGGTATCGGGCCCAAGCACGTGGGCCGTCTTTCACTGCTTTTCCCAGACCATTAAGCAGGGAGCTGGATTGGAGTGGAGCAGCTGGGACATGAACCCGTGGCCATGTGGTATGCTGGCTTTGCAGTCCAGAACTTTACCAGCTATGCCACGACACCAGCTCCCAATTTGTTTTTTAAACATTAGATTTACTAGCCGTTTTCTTATTCCCTACCCAGCCTTAGGGAACCACTAGTTTTCTTTGTGTCTCTGTGGATTTGCCCATCTAGGCATTTCATATGAATTTTCTTTTGTGACTAGCTTCTTTCACTTAGCATAATACTCTGAAAACTTGTCCATGTTGTAGTATGAATCGATACTTTGTTTTGTTGTCAAATATTAAAACATTATATGAATATTCATTAGTTGATAGACATTTGGGTTTCCACTTTTGGCTACTGTGAATAATGTTGCTCTGAACATTTGTGGACAAGATTTTGTAGGGATTTGTTTTTAGTTCCTTTGGCTGTATGCCTAAGAGTGGAATTGCTGAGTCATATGGGAACTCTGTTTAACATTCGGTTTTATTATTTACTATTTATTCACTACTTAAAAATTTTAAATATTTTGACACATAAGAATTGCTCATACTTATGGGGTATTGGTATTATGTGATATTTCATTACATGCATACATTGTGCAGTGTTCAATCAGGTAAACATTTATCCTTTCAAGCATCCAAAATTTCATTTTAGTGAAAACATCCCAAATGCTCTCTTCTAGTTTTACTTGATATTGAAAGATACAGCACATTAAGATTATCTGTAGTGACCTTACTGTGCACTCTTGAGATTTTTTTTAAGATTTTATTTGTTTACTTGAAAGTTAGAGTTGTGCAGAGAGAGAGAGAGAGAGAGCAGTCTACCATCTGCTGGTTCATTGCCCAGATGGCTGCAATGGCTGGAGTTATGCTGATCTGGAGCCAGGAGCCAGGAGCTTCTTTCAGGTCTCACGCACAGGTACAGGGGCCCAAAGACTTGGGCCATCTTCTACTGCTTTCCCAGGCCATAGCAGAAAGCTGGATCAGAAGTGGAGCAGCCGGGACTCAAACCAGCGCCCATAAGGGATGCCGGCACCGCAGGCGGCAGCTTTACCCGCTACACCACAGTCCCGGCCCCACTCTTGAAATTTTTAAATCAGTTTATCTTAATGCTTACAAACTTCTCCTTGAAGTTCTCTTCCTTTAACCCTATGATACTGTTTTGTTCCCTGGTTAATTTTCTGACTAGTTTTTCCTATCTCATTTGTGGGTTTCCTTTTTTTCTTTTCCTTATGTTGCTGTTGTTCCTGAGTTCTGCCTTGACTTTCTTCTTTTGTTTATTCCTCCTGAATGATATTATCCTATTATATCCTGGTTACTTAAATCTGTGCCTCGACCCATACTGCTTGTGAACACCATGCCAATTATTTAACTCCTTTGATATTATCTCATGTCCTCTAATTTAGCCTGTGATTCCTCAGAAAACAAAGGAAAACAGAAAATTAATATGAAAACTTATCTCGGCCGGCGCCACAGCTCACTAGGCTAATCCTCCGCCTTGCGGTGCCGGCACACCAGGTTCTAGTCCCGGTCAGGGCGCCGGATTCTGTCCCGGTTGCCCCTCTTCCAGGCCAGCTCTCTGCTGTGGCCCGGGAGTGCAGTGGAGGATGGCCCAGGTGCTTGGGCCCTGCACCGCATGGGAAACCAGGAGAAGCACCTGGCTCCTGGCTTTGAATTAGCGCGGTGCGCCGGCCGCAGCATGCCAGCTGCGGCAGCCATTGGAGCGTGAACCAACGGCAAAGGAAGACCTTTGTCTCAGTCTCTCTCTCTCACTGTCCACTCTGTCAAAAAAAAAGAAAAAAAAAAAACAACTTATCTCATCACTTCCAGATCGCTATCTCTCCCGCCACCAAAGGCTCTTGGTCTGTACTACCCCACTTCATCCCCTGTTGTTATTCTCCATTGCCACTCCTTGGATGCAAGCCCTCAACATTTTTCATCTGTAATATTTGCTCTGGTTCATTTCCATAATGCTGTTGTTAGGATGAAAACATCTTAGGTGAATATTTTATGATTTAGTCCTTGTCTGCTTCTCCATCTTTCTTTCTTTATTTTTTTAAAAGACAAAAATACAGACATATCTCTCCT